ACACACACACACACACACACACAGATTTCACTGCGGATGGCTTTAGCAGTGGTGGAGAGTGTACTTGCGATTTTGTAAGCCCCAGGGGACTGTGCCCACTCAGGATACTGCCTGTCCTAGAAGACAGGAGTCTGCAGGGACTCAGTCCACCCCAGCCTTGGGATCTCAGAGCCTCAGGAGCTAGACCCCTGGGAAGTGCTTCCTGTGCAGGCCACAGCCACTAATTGGGTTTGTGGTTGTGGTCTCTCAGGGGCCCACAAGTTTTGAGTGCCCTCTCTAAAGTCCAGGAAGAGAAATAAAAGGACTGGTTGCTTGAGGGTGCCATTTCTGTGTATCTTCAGTCCTCACCAAGGGCCTAGGTTTGGTGAGTGTTGGGGAAACCAAGGGCAGAGCTCAGGATCCTGGGGCAGCTAACTGAAGGACAGACAGAGGACCCAAGAGGAGGGCAAGGACATGCTAAGAAAAGACAGGGGTGGGCTCAATCCAGTATTCCCCATGAAATAGAGTCTGCAGGCCCAGGGGCCAGATTTTAAACAGTCTCAGGGGTTGGCATGAGAATGGACAAATGGGGCAAATGGGAATGAACAGGACTGGAACTTTTCTTCAGGACACAATTCAACTGCCCAGACCACATGGTCTGAGAGCCTGGATCTGGAAGAGCAGACTCAAACTCTGTGTTTTCTGTGTGATTTGAAATTTTCTGTTACTGTGTGGGTTCCTGGCATTTGTGTATACTTACAAGTGTTTGTAATAATAATGACATTACATAATAGTCACTACCTACTGAGAGCTTAACACTGAGCTGAGGACTTTTCTCATGTAATGCGCACAAAAATTCTATGAGGAAACAGGCATTTTGGAGAGATCATATAACATGTTTGGTATAATGAAAAAACAGGCACTGATCAAATGCAAATCTGAATCTTGACTCTAAAATGCAGGTTCTTAAGAAGTAACAATAATGTGACTTTGTGTAAACTTTGCCTAAGATTTCCGTGTGTGTGTGTGTGTTTTATTTCACTCACTCATTTATTATTTTAGTCACTTATTAATTAAGCTGTACTTTAAGGGAATATAGAATAAGTAGAAGGGAAAATGGAGGTGGAGTAGGGAGAGATGTGGCAGAAAAAGGACACAGGTCCCATATCAAACAGAAACTTGTGTGCAATGATTTAAACATTATTTATCTATTCAACAAACCTTAAGTGTTTATAGAAATTAAACTAGAATCAAAATATAAAACTATGACTATGAAAATGTCTTTATACTCAAGACGGGTAGAAGATAGGCAAATATAGACAATAAAATTATGTGTGCTTCCATAGGACATAAGTACATGGTTCTGTGGATATGAATAAGAGGACCCGGTCTTGGAGTTAAGAAAACGTTTTCTGGAAGAATTTTCACCTCAACCGAGACAAAGGGGGTGGGCAAAAGTAAACAGCCTTATTTCTCTGGATAAAACTTCTTGAGCAATGTTAATACAAATGTTTTGATAACCATGATCTTTTTATCTTAAGTGGAAATGCCTTTAGCACTTTCCTGGTTTGGCATATTATTGGCTGTCGCTTTGCATGGATTTATTTTCCTTTATTTATTTAGTAACAGATATCTAAAGATTTCAAATGTATTTTCAGAGAAAATGAGAATATTCTTCTTGTCTTGACTCAATAACAACATTCAGTTCCGGAGATAGTCACTGAGCACTTTTTAAGTGCCACTATTGGGCAGATATTGAAAGCATTTTTGAAACAACAATAACAACAACAACAAAAGCAGGAAGAACAAAACTAACATGATCTTTGCCTTTATAGAGATTGCTGTCTAGCAGAGAAAATAAGCAGTAAACAGGTGGTGGCAAATACGATGAATTTCAGAAAAGAGGAAATACGATTTGGAAATAGAATTTTCTAACATAGATCAGAAAGACTGTTCCCAGGGGAGTAATATTTCAGCTGAATGAAAGGGGGCTTAGTTGAGACCTGAATGATAAGTAGAACCTAGCATTGCTTGGAGATAGGAAGAGGGATGGGGACACTTGTTCTAAAGTCAAGGAGGAAATAGGTGCACAGTCTCAGAGTCAGGAGACTTTGGCACTGAGGAGCATGTGGTAGCTTACCTGTTTTTAGAACAGCACACTTTATCCATTTAGACTTTATTTATCTACAATGACGGTTGTTCAGAGAAGGGCAGCATCGAGGCCTGGCCCTCACAGCCTCGGGTACCGCTTTGAATACCTTGCAGTATGATAGCTCACCTGGAGGGAGTCATAGTGGTCTCATTTCTCTTCATCACGTGGCTTTCCAATATCCCTGGCCTCATTTCTGTTCATCTGCAGAGAAGAAGTGTAAGTCTCAGCAGATGCTTAAGTCAAAATTTGAAGAAATAACTAAATACTATAGTTGGAACCCTGGAAATAAAGTAGAGGAATTTACCATATTTCTTATATGGAAATTGCTTTTAACACACACATTTTTAGAAAAAGTAGGACTTCTTTTTCTGGCAAACATTCCTGGAGTGTAACAGGAAGACTGAAGAGGTAACAAGATCAGAGTGTGGATACCTTGTTAGCTATGCTGAAGATTTTTAATTTTGATTCCAAAAGGATTAGATCAATATAATCAATTGCACATGGGGATTTAAAGAGAGAAAAGTGTAAATGCAATTCAGGTTTTTGCTTTGGCTCATTTAGTGGATGGTATTAGTTTTCTGTGAAATATTATACACAAGAGGGGGCAGAGGGTTTCTGAAGAAATATGATGGGTCTTAAGTTTAATTTTTGAAAATTAAACTTGAGTGCTATGAGATATCCATAAGAAGATATCCAGAAAGGAGTTGAATATATGTGTCTTGTAAGATGTAAAGGAGAGGTAAAGAATTGGGAGATGTCATGTATAGCTATTAATTGGGATCTTAGGAATTGATGATCTAGATCAGGAAAATTGTGAAGAGAATAGGGGTCTTCAAGCAGAGCCTTGAAGAACCCCAGGACTTAAGATACATAGAATATCTTCTCTCTTTTTTTTTAACATATAATGTATTATTTGTTTCAGAGGTACAGGTCTGTGATTCAACAGTCTTAGAAAAATGAACGGGGGAGAATCAGAGGGGGAGATGAACCATGGGAGACTATGGACTCTGAGAAACAAACTGAGGGTTCTAGAGGGGTGGGGGTGGGTGGATGCGTTAACCTGGTGATGGGTATTAAAGAGGGCATGTATTGAATGGAGCACTGGGTGTTATACACAAACAATGAATCATGGAACACTACATCAAAAACTAATGATGTAATGTATGGTGATTAACATAGCATAATAAAATAAAATTAAAAAAAAGGTACATAGAATAAGAACAGGCAAAGGATGAGATGAGATGCCAGAAAGGTTGAAGAAAAACTAAAAGTGTTGTGATAAAACATTGACAGGATATTTCAAGATGGAGGGGATAGTGAATAGTGTCAGATGCTGCCGAGAAGTCCAGCAAGGGTGGGGCATGGACTTCATTGGTAATGTTAGCAAAAGCTGCTTTGGTGTAAAATTGAGGACAGAAATGAGATTAGCCTGGGTTAAAGGGTAAGCAGGACATGAGAAGCATGTACGTGGTGTAGACAACTACATATCTAATTTAGACTAGAAACTATTTGAGCCATTTTAATTGTTTAAATATTGAAGGAGTAAACTTTTTAAAAGGCTAGGTTGCAGACAAAGGCAAGAAAGAGAATAAATGATTATGAAAGATACCTGACAAGATTGGAAGATTTGAGAGAGAGGGATGGGTTTGTTTTTGGATCCAGATACAAAAGGGATTTTTTTCCCTTTTTTTCTAATTATACACACACACACATACACACACACACAGAAGTGATAGCTGTCTCACATGATTTCACACACAATGCCTTTGAATTTCTGTGTGAAGTGAAATGAAAGATTATCTGTTGAGAGAGAAAGAGTTGGAGTTGGTGGATGTGCTTGGAGAAAAGCAGGAAAAAAAGTCATCCAGGGAGACTGAGCTGAACAAGATCATGTTGTTGGGTCATTCGGCAGTGTTGTGGGTGAACTTTAAGGTTGATGATCGTGAAATTAAGGGAACATAAACATGTCTAGTTAAGCGCCTTCCTGTCTTAATCTGAAGAACTTATTAGGGTGGTGAATCTAGGAGTTGAGTTTTGCATTCATACATGATGGGAGCAAAGGCGAGCAAAATATGTATGAGAGAGTTGTTGACATGATGAATCAGAATTTAACCTAGAAAAGAGGAATGAAAAGACACCAGGATAGTGAATGAAAGTAGCGAAAAAGTCAATGCCCTGAGGGCTCAGGGTTGTTGAAGAACACATTGGTAATCACTGAACCGCATAGCTGAGCAGATACACAGTTAGCATGTGTAAATGTGTGATAATGAGGCCAGTGAATTCTAAGTAATAGTTCTTCAAGATAGAATCCTAGAATTGGGTACCTGACCTTTCAGGAACAAAATGAAGCTATTCAAGATGAGATTATACCTTGGGGGCACCTGGGTGGCTCAGTCGTTAAGCGTCTGCCTTCGGCTCAGGTCATGATCCCAGGGTCCTGGGATCGAGCCCCGCATCGGGCTCCCTGCTCCGCGGGAAGCCTGCTTCTCCCTCTGCCATTCCCCCTGCTTGTATTCCCTCTCTCACTGTGTCTCTCTCTGTCAAATAAATAAATAAAATCTTTAAAAAAAAAAAAAAGGTGATATTATACCTTGAGGGAAAAGGTTGGGAGAGGCGACTGACAAGGATGTTACACTTGCTGTGAAATGATTATCACAATATGCTTAGTTACACCTATCACCATGCATTGTTGGAATTTTTTTTTTGTGGTAAGAATTTTGAAGATCTATTCTCTTGGCAAGTTTCAAATATATAATATATTATTATTAACCTGAGTCACCATACTGTACATTCCATCCCCAGGACTCATTTATTTTATAACTGGAATTTTGTGCATTTGACCACCTTTACCCATTTCACTAACACCCACCTCCACCTCTGTTGATCACCAACCTGTTCTCGGTGTCTGAATTCCATGATTTCATGTTGTCGTTGCGTTTGCGGTTATAGATTAGACACACACAGCATTTGTCTGTAGGTTCATAAGGGATTTGTCTGTGTTTTCTTCATGTGACTTAATTTTATATCTTCTGCTATATAGATATCATGTATGTGTCACGTGCCATAAACCCTATGGAGAATTTTTTTTATTACATGACAGTTTATGTAAAGACTTACTTCTCATGCAGCCTTTGGCAGGTTACTTAACTTCTCTGTGCCTCCATTTCTGCATCTTTGAAATGTAGGCAACATTATTACCTGTCTCACAGGGTTTTTAAGAGGATTATAGAAGTGATTTCATGTAAAGAGTTTTAGACTTGTGTAGTGTACTGAAGGTTTCCAAAAATATTCGTTTTGTTAGAGAGGTTCCTTGTTTGCTTTTATCTTGACCTGAGATTTAGAATGTATCGATTCCATATTTTTTCCACTAGAGGTCCCTCAATTACTCTCTTCGAATACATGTCTTTGACAGTTTCTTTTCTTTTCTTTTCTTCTTTTTTTCCCCCCTTTTTTTAAGCCACATGTTTATGGTTTGGGGAAGAGGTACCACAGAAGTTTAAATCATACAATTTGGAGTCAGAAGTACCTGGATTTGGGTCTTACTGAACTTACCTTCTATGTTAGTCTCTATAATAGGGGTATAATAATGCTGCTTGTATCATAGTGCTATTGTGGGTAGTTTATTTTCATTCAAAATATTGTAAAGATTCTTTTTTCTTATTCTAGGAAACAATGATGATAAATGGGCTAAAGTTACAATAAATGTCAATCACAACATGCTTACATATAAGTTAACCCTCCTAAAATATTATTTTAAAATGTAATAATATCAGTACATATTTTTTTTAAAAGGACACTTGAACCAATTTCTTCATTCAGTACTAAGAGGGGGCTGGAGGCTGAGTTGCATATCCACTTCCATACTGTGCTCCATAGTGGGGCACCAAACATCAGTCTCAGAGAACATTCTGGTCTGCAAATCCCAGCTGCTATAGTGTAAGGGGTATCAGGAGAGTAACTGCAATCAGCATAGGGTTAGTGTGCTGGACACACTGCAGTTTGAGTGTTAGGTTTTCCATATTGACTTCCCTACATCCCAGGCCCCTTCTCAGTGCTTGGCATCTAACAGTGTGTCTCCTGAGCAATCCCCTGGTGTGGCACTGAAGCATAATGGAGGATTAGCTGTGGACTGGAATGATCTTGGCTCTCTGCCCGTTATCCAAGATGAGATCTTGGGTAAGATTATGTCTCAGAGTTTCAGATTCTGTAAAAAAAAATATAGGGGGATAAAAATACATATCTCAGGCCATATCCACAGCCATGCTGAAGCATGAGTTCTCTGTGGACATGACCTGGGAAGGCTGCTCTAAAGCTGTGAGTAGAGCGCTCAACAAGCTGGGGAGAATTGAGTTTGACCTTGACCTGCCCATCAACTCCATCAACTCTGAGCACAGTACAAACACTCTGCTGGAGACCCTGGGGAAAACAGAAAAGGCTCATTCTTACCTGGGCCCCAAGAAATGAGGGCCTGGACTCCTGGTCCCAAAATGGACCAAGAGGGCAGGACGCTGATCCTCTCCTGCCTTCCAGATAGATGTGAGCCTGGCAGTCCCACTCAGTGATGGGAGTTCCTGCAGACACCCTCACTTGCTCTGCTCCTTCATAGCTTCCCTGTAATAAATTAGAGCTGTTTTTGTTGGAAAGAAAATACATATCTCAGAAGACTGTTCTAAATGAGCTAATACTTTGTAAAGCTTGGACTACAATAGGAGTCAAATTGTTATCTCCTTATTTTTCCAATTGTGCCCCACTTTCTTAGTTTCTTTCTTTCTCTGCATGTGGTTAAATTGTTTTTCTCTATACTCAAGTCTATATAGAAACTAATTACTTTGACCCAGGGAACACTCAATCATTACATGGAAATAAAATAGTATGCAGGTTGAAGATTCCAGAGGAACTGAGTGATGAGTACCAGGAGTGTCATGTCTGGGGTATCTTTCTTTCTTTCTTCTTCTTTTTTTTTAATGGGGAATCACTCATCAAGGCATGAATATTGCCTTTACTAGGACTGGGAGGTTTTTCTTGGTAGATAGGAAAGAGGAGAACTAACCTGAAGGAGAGGGTGAAGGAAGAATTACCATACAATTTACTCAGGTTCATTATACACAATTTGTTTTTCAGATACAGAATCCATTCCTCAGACCACACTGACCATGTATAACCTGAGTAGCTACGACACAGGTGACTTTACCTTTTTGGGCATCCCTGGCCTTGAATAGTACCATGTCTGGATCAGCATCCCCTTCTGCATTATCTATCTTGTGGCCAGCCATTGTGGGCAACAGTATCCTTCTCTACCTCATTGCTGTGGAGAGGAGTCTTCATGCACCCATGTTCTTTTTCCTTTCCATGCTAGCCATGACAGATCAGATATTGTCTACCACATGTGTCCCCAAAACCCTTGCCATCTTCTGGTTTGGTCCCCAGAAAATCAGTTTTCCTGGTTGCCTCACCCAGTTATTCTTTCTGCACTACAGCTTTGCCCTGGACTCAGCTATACTCCTGGCCATGGCATTTGACCGCCACGTGGCTATCTGCTCCCCCCTGAGATACACCACTATTCTGACCCCCGAGACCATCATCAAGGTTGCAGTGGGCATCTCCTTTCGAAGCTTCAGCATCATCCTGCCAGTTGTATTCCTGCTCATACGTCTCCCTTTCTGCAGGACACACATCATCCGTCACACATACTGTGAGCACATAGGTGTACCCGGCTCGCCTGTGCTGACATCTCTGTCAACATCTGGTATGGCTTTTGTCTTCCCATCATGACAGTCATCTCAGATGTGATTCTCACTGCTGTCTCCTACACCCTCATCCTCTGTGTGGTCTTCCACCTCCCCTCCTGGGATGCCCGCCAGAAGGCCCTTGGCACCTGTGGTTCCTATGTCTGTGTCATTTTCATGTTTTATACACCTGCCTTTTTCTCCATCCTTGTGCATCGCTTTGGACACAATGTCTCACACTTTCCACATCATGTTTGCCAACTTCTACATTGTTATCCACCTGCACTCAACCCCATTGTCTATGGAGTGAAGAGCAAGCAGATCAGAGGTAAGGTCATACTTTAATTTTCTACCAAGTGTTCAGAATAATGTTCCAATGTGCTTTGGAAAGTTAACATCATTTTATAGGTGATATTAATGTAGCAAGAAAGAGAAAAAACCTAATTCTATTTTTTTTATTTATTTATTTATTTATTTATTTATTTATTTATTTATTTAGAGAGCACAAGTGTGTGTGGGGGGAGACAGAGGGAAGGAGAGAGAGAGAATCTTAAGCAGGCTCCATGCTTAGTGCAGAGCCAGACTCAGGGCTCAATCTCACAACTCTGAGATCATGGCCTGAGTCAAAATCAAGAATCACGCACTTAGGGGCGCCTGGGTGGCTCAGTCGTTGAGTGGCTGCCTTCGGCTCAGGTCGTGATCCCAGGGTCCTGGGATCGAGTTCCGCATCAGGCTCCCTGCTCAGCGGGAAGCCTGCTTCTCCCTCTCCCACTCCCCCTACTTGTGTTCCTGCTCTCGCTATCTCTCTCTCTGTCAAATAAATAAATAAAATCTTAAAAAAAAAAAATCATGCACCTAACCAACTAAGCCACCCAGGTACCCCTAATAAAAAGCTGATTCTATTTAAAGTGAGAATTGTTTGCAGGTGCTTTTGCATACCAGGAAAATGTCATGATCTATATGCAGGAGATGGTTCTCTATATAAAAAATTCCTGATGACCTGATTATGTGTGGAACATGACGTTGTATAGGATATAATGAAGAAGAAGAGGTGAAAACAGAGAGTTGACTTACTTTAAATAGACAAAGGAATACAAATTTGCAAATTGACATTTGCAGCCAATGAGAGAAAAATGTGTTAAGGCAGAAACACTGAAGAAGGGAGACTAAAAGTGAAAATATCAATGAATAATTCATTATTAGGGGGATTTTTAGATGGATTGAGAAAATTTATGATAATATTCAATACTTATTATTATTCATGATATGTGTCAGCAGTTTCCATTCAATGCCCCCCAATACATGACATCCTTCAGTAGAAGTACTATGAGCAGCGTGGTCTACCAGCAGTGTTGCAATGAGGAGGAGAGAAGCATAGGTTTCTCAATGCCAGCATTCTGAGCGCTGGTGCTGGTGAAGGAGCATAGCTTCTAGACTCCAACACACATTGAGGAAAGGAGCTGCAGAGATGGTGTTGGAGATTTTGAGCCCATTCACTGGGATAGTAAAGTGGTCATTTACCTCCACTGGATGGGAGCCCATGGGGCCCTTAGCTACAGGGAGTATTTCCTGGACTGGGAGAGAGAACCAAATACCAGACACAGTAGTGTAGTGCAGGGGGGATAAGCAGAGGAACTCTAGAGTAATGCATGCATGGTAAGATGCATCTAATTGCACAAAGATTTCACTGGAGACAACACTATATATTGTATTTGAAGAAAGATCTAGAGTTCTAGAAATCTAGATTTAGAAATCTTTCATTTGTTGACAATTATCCATTGATTTGGAATTGTTGGTTGAGTATCCACTGTATTGCAATAAGGTTCAAAGTATTCAGAATATTAAGGTTAATAATACAAAGAGACTCTGTCCCGCTTCTATGGAGCTCATATTCTGAGGAGAGAGATTCACAAGAAACAAGAAAACAAATTCTTTACTTTCAAAGGGTAATGTAACTGATAGAAAAATGAAGTGAATACAGTGATGCACTACAAGTGGGCGATGAGGACAGTGGCAGAGAGGACAGCACAGGCAAAGGTCCTGGGGCTGGAAACAGTGTGACATGACTGTGGAAAGAGCAGAGGTCAGTGTGTCTGGAGTACAGTGAGGTGGGGATAGCAGAGGAGGGAGGAGGAGCATGGCCAGGTCTTGTGGGACTGGAATCAACCAAACTTCATTCTAGGAGGAGGAGACTGAAG